GTTCCTGCTGGTAACACCTGTTGATGGGCAAACGGCACAAAGGAGAAGGGTCAACTCCACCCACCCGACCTGCGCTCTTCTCGGCTGCCGCCTGCCCACTCCCTGCTCCTTTGACTGGAGAAAGATGGAGGCCTGCTATTCATATATTTAATATTTATTTATCAATCGATTTTTATCCTGCTCTTCAAAGGCCTGGCTTTTCTCTCCAGCAGATGTCCAATTTCAGGACTCCCTCTATTGGAGTAAAAACAAACTTCCCCCTACGATCCTCATGGTTCCTTTAAGGAGGGGGGATTTGGTGCTCTCTAACGTGCATTTAGCAGCCATTGCAACAGGGACGTCCCACAATCTTGGTTTCATTACGAAAGGCAGTGGGAGAAACCCACTCCAGGATCCACTGCCTGAAACATGCTTGGAAGTTTGCTTTCCTTTTAACCCCTGAGAGCAACGCTCAGTGGCAGGGGGCCCCTTTTGGGGTGCTCACAATGGAGGCTTCTCTTACATTGGCCTTATTAGATCCTTCGCTCACGTGTCACCGGCTGGAAGGAAAGAGAAACAGCCACTTGGGATTATTTCTGCACTCCGGTAGCTACACATACATGGCATTCTGCTTGGATTTCTATGTGCTTGAAGAAGCGAGTAACTTCGGCTTGATTGTAATGCCTACTTTAGTACAGTGGAATAAAGGGGACTGAGTAAATGGTGCGATCTTAATATACACTCCAGAATGCCCTGTTCCCTTTCCTGGAAAATCACCACCACTATGTCTTGTCATCCGAGATCTCCAGTGTCCGTCAGTTGCTCTTGCTGTCCTTTTCAGTGACTCCAGGTCTCCAGAGATGAACGTGGCAAGTAAGAGATGGATGCATGCCATCTTGTGCCCAGCGGACGGGGCCCTGTGTGTGGTCGAACCCTTGTTCCACCTCCCCTGGTGTTGATGGAACCAACTGGCTAGCAGCATTTGGGCAGGATCTCCAGCTGAGTTGTTTCCCTTCCCCTGCTATTTGACCCTTTCAACGGGCTGCACTGAAGAGCAACCCTCATAATTCCTGTGGGCAAATAATAACAATAATAATATAAAAACACCTGCCCAGGGAGCTGTTGAGTGGTATAGAAAACAAGCAAACAACTGTTTTGTCAGTGTACCATCCCAGCCTGTAAATCCATGCGCCCGAATGCTTTAGCATCATGCCGCGTGCAGTCTGCCAATGCTGAAGTTGTAGCTCAGTGGAACGGCAGAAGCTTCACATGCAGAAGATCCCAAGTTTAAACATGGGCATCCCCATTTAGGGCCAGGATGTTAGGCAAGGGCTCCCAGTTTCCTTTGTTCCATTGTCCGCTGAACACATTTTTTTATTTAGACAAACTTTTCCTGAAGAGCCTTGCTTTAATTGGCACAATGTGATATTGATCCATCAATTGGTCAATCAATCAATCAATCAATCAACCATACTATATTTATAATGTATTCTGCTTGCTTGTTTATAGCTGGGGAATCTTCTAGAGGAGCAGCAGCTTCAATCTTTGTCAGTAATAGCTGCAGATGTAAAGCTTGACCCAAAGACTGTGTACAAGGCAAAGAAAGGTTTCTGAGCCAGAACGTTTCTTTCGAGTTCACAGTCTTTGGCATCACCAGAAATGTAATTCATAGAGACAAACTCATTTTATTTTCTCCCCATACTTCTACTCCTCTCTCTGCTAGCCTTCACTCCCGCCCCCCCCCCCGCCCAAACACACACACACATTTCCTGGAATTGACTACATGGCAGAAGAAAACATTAGCTTGTGGCTACTCAGAATCTTCATTTCCTAAGAATGACTCTGCTCAACCCCGATTCCCAAAGCATCCAAACAGGGAAGCAGGTGGCAAAGTAACCCAGTCCTTTGTTAGCAACAGCAACACCTGAGCAAGCACCAAAGGAGCCTGTACTCCTGTTCCTGTAAGCATGTTACTCCAGGGCTGCATCAGCTGCATTGATGGCCAGGCAATTTCTGAAATCCTGAATGACTTAGGACCAGGCTGCCCAAAAGAGCATCTTTTCCTGTGGCTTCTTGCCTACCTGGCTGTTCAGCTCATTCTCAGAACCTCTGGGTGCTGCTGCTCACAATCTGCCCCGGGCAGATCTGGGGGAAAGCACCTTCTCTGCAGTCTCCCACCCCCAGTTCTGCGGAATGCCTTTCCCAAGGAGACCTGCCGAGCAGCCTTGGTGTATACATTTAGACACCAGCCTAAGCTCTTCCTCTTCCAGAGGGCATTTCCTCTTTACGCAATCACTGTGGTTATTCGCTTTTCAAATCAGTATTTTCAAAATTGTCCTTAGTTCTCTTGGTTATTATTACATTGTTCTCTGGGGAGTTTGTGACTGTAAAACACCTTGGAGGCATTTCTCAGTTGTTGGGAATATAAATTGAAAAGTGGAACAGTTCTGTCCTGCTGTGATAAATTCTTGCAAGGAACCAGAGAATCCTTTTTGCCAGAAATCTCTGCCAATTGTTTGCAAATCACCTGGAGACATACCAGGAGCTCTTGATCTGCTTTCTGCCCACCCTGTGACACAGCCATTTGATCTAACCGGATTAACCTGTATTCTGCATGTTCAGTTTGGTGTTTCTGCCAACTGGGATTTGACCGGGCTGCCCAGTTTTTTGACACATTGGATGCCTGCCAATCATGGCAATTAAAAAAAACAACAACTGGCGAACCTGGATTGTTCCTATTTTCTCCCTGCCTTTCAGACTGATGATGATCTGGGGTGATGGAAAAGAAAAAAGCATTTGCACTTAGCTCCAATGGCATCGCCCCAGATTTCCTTGTTTGCCTGAGCTTAGCTGCAATTCTCCCATTGATGGGGAAAGAATGTGAATGTTCAGAACTGCAACATATTGTCCCCTAACTTAGTGCAAACTATCTTGGGGTGTCACAAAAGTTCCGGTGGAGATGCACTGGCTAGAAGTTGCATTCGTTAGTTTTAATTGATCAGCTCTGAATTTTGCGACTCTCCTTGGGGCACAGCTGTGGAGAGCATCCTGATGAGTTCGAGATTCTCTTGAAAACATATCTCTGCATCATAACCCAGCAGGGGCTTGTTAGGAAGAGAGAAATTGGAATATGACCTAAGGAATGTGAGGCTCAACTGACTTCTGAGGAAGTGAGGAAAGGGGCAGGTGGACAATTGCTCTACTCATGGCCACTTCCAGCAGAGGAAAAGGTAATGAGCAGATTCCGCCCCAGCTTCGCAGATGTAAAGGTCCAGCAGGAAACCTGGGCTGGCAGTAGATGGTGTGAAGTCATTAAGCCAAGTGCATGGAAACTTAGGCAGCGAGGGGGGTGCACAAACCTAGGCCCCCAATCTGGCCTCCCAGGGTCCCCAAGGGCTGTGATCCCTCCACCTCTCCCCTGGTTACCTGATGATTAGTGGATTCTCTGTTTTTGCATGTTTTGCCCCATGGCAAATGCTTCTAAGGCAGGAAGAGTGTTTTGCTAAATATGCTGGCGATTTCACAGATTTTTGGCCCCACGCCTTTTGCCTTTGGACCACCACTGCAAGAGAGCCTGCATGAAGTGGAATTCACCCTCCACTCCAGATTTAACATCCCGCTACATGTTGAGACCATGCTGTTGCACACTCACGCTAAATCACGAACTCCACTAATAGCAGCAATACTATCTGCCAGCATCTTGCTAATCCTTTCTTAAAGAACCACACAGGTGCGATGTTTCATTCTCATTCATTCTCATTCATTTTTCATTTCATTGCTCAACAGAAAGGCAGTGGTGAGAAGCATTCCTTTACATTTGTACCCATCTACACATTTGTTTGTGCATGTAACCCTTCTTCGGATTTCTCCCCTCCCTGCCTCCTCCACCTCCCATTACACAGAGGGCTTTGTAAGTGCCGGCAAGGGGCGAGAACGAGTGGGTGCTTTGTCTGCCATGGCTCCGTTTTTGCTCATTAGCAAAGTAAATAGGAAAATTGCAGCACATGGGTTCAGCTTTAATTCAACTAATCAGCTTCTGCTTAGGAGAGAAAATTGCAAACAATTTAGCAAGTTCTTTCTCTATCCCCTTCCTGCTTAGATGCCATTGGCTGTAAAGTATGAGATGTTTTATTTATTTATTTATTCATTAAAACATTTTTATGCTGCCCCATTCGCCGAAGCCTCGGGGCGGCTTACAACAATAAATAAAACCAATAAGTTAAAATATACATATAGATAATCATAATAATTTAAAACACACAATATAAAATAAGCTGCCCTGGCCAGATAAAATTCAGTGGTATTAACATTTAAAATGTTGCTTAAATAAAAAGGTCT